GCAGGGGTCTATTTAGGGTTTAGGGTTTCCCAAAACTGGGGTGTACCTTGGTTGTGGTCCCCATCATAAGGATTATCATACTTTGGCGTCTATACTGGGCTCCCCCTAATTTGGGAAACTACCACCTTGCTTGGGCAGCGAACTTTCAGCCTGACTGTCACAATGCGAGCCTTTAAGAAAGTCGTCTCAACTGACCCAGGCAATTTGCAACAGGGAAGCAGAACCTCTAAGTTCCCTGGAGCCCTGGTAGAAATCACACACTTTCAGCTGGTTATTAGGATTATAGAGGAATTCAAAACTGCGTTCGGGGAACTCCAGGAACCTGTAACATCTAAAAGTGTAAGAGGCAAGGTAGCCTCCCCAGTCTCCTGCACGGACTAGCACCGATACCCTTGTGCTCAGCGCAGTCTGCGAAAAATTCAGAATATTCAGAGAGGCAAGACCGTCAGAATCGCAATCCAGATCCTTGAAATTCGAGCGCCTCTGGCGCACAGCAGCCTCAGACATAGCTTGAAAAAATCCTGAAATCAGGCACCAGGTCGGCAAACTCCATCACCATGTTCTGCCTTGCAACCCCATCCTCCTGCAGAGCCGACACAATGTAGTCTGGCGCTGCAGTTTCCATTGCAAGATCTGCTGCGGTACTCCCACGCGCGTTCCTGACGTCAATCTTCGCACCAGCTGCCAGCAAAACAGCCGTAGCCTCAAAAGAACTCGTGAGAATACTGCACATCAAAGGTGTGGCCTTGTAGTGGTGATAGGCATACGCGCTCAAGATGGACTGCTTCCAGCGGTGTCGCAAGCTCAAGCCAGCAAACATGACACCCAAAGGGCTGAGGAGAGGCGTGCTCAGTTGGTGGTCCACATCGGCTCCTGCATGGATCAAGGTCGAAACAACCGCAGCCGTTCCACCATCTCCATGAAGCAACGCAGCATGCAGAGCACGATCTACCTCTTGCCGAGGACTCACTTGAAGCAGCTCCCTCATTGTTTCCACGGAACCTGCAGCACTTGCCATGATGAAAGGGCAGTAGCCAAGAACATTTGCCTGTTTTGGATCACAACCAGCAGAGATAAGAAGCTTGAGGCCTTCCACGTTGTTGGAAATGGCTGTCCAAAGAAGAGCGGTTGCTCCGTAACCATCCTTTGCATTGACGTCTGCCCGATTGGACAGCAGCACTTTGATAGCGTCATTGTTCGTCCAGAAAGAACAAATATGAAGCAGTGGTGTGTGTGGAGCAAACTGGGACAAAGGCTCCATCTTCATAATCATGTCATTGACATCGGCCCTTTGCTCAAGAAGGGTGGTGATGAGCATCGGGCTGCCGTCCAGCGCGGCATAGCAGATGGGAGTCCAACCAGCTTCATCCCGCTCATGAATAGACTCAAAGCCATTCTGGTACATGAAATTGGCTGCGGCAAACGCGGCCGGATCATTCGAGTCAGAATCAAAGCCAGGGATTAATGACTCTATCGGAGTCACAGGGAGGCTTCTAAGAAGCACTCGCTGCAGGTTTAGAATCATGCGATAGCTGTGAAAATCCCGCTCCACCAGGTAGAATTGCAGCTTCTTTTGAATCATGTTTTTCAAAAGCACCGCAATCTTCTCCCGGTCCGATTGCACAGTGAACTGCCCTTCTCCTACAGGAGTCCGGACCCACGCAAAAGACAGGGACATCTCTTGGCGAGCTGCACTGTGCATCTCTATTGAAAGGTGCGCGTCCGCCTTGGCACTGAGAGCCCGAGTCACGCGTTCCAACCTGCGCATGGCATGCAGGGGAACATTAATAAGATACGAATAATACTAATATAGAATAGTAATAATAATGAATGGGAAATAGTTCATGATGGAAATCACATCGTTCTACAGTAGTACAGGATAGCTCTTGACGGGCCCAAGGAAAATGAGACTGAGCTGGGAATGTTACTGACGTTTTCAAGCTACAGCGACGAGTAGCGTTCCAGAATCACTGGCCTTTGAATACAACACCATACACCCTACACCCTAAGCGCTATATAACTCATTGTAACAGCTTCCATTTTCTTTTCCATTGTCAACAACCAAAACGACAGATGAAATGATGACATCGATGTTGGTCCTTCTGGCACAGCGCACACGCCGCATTCTCATTCATCTTTCATACGTCAACCTAAAGGTTAGAGTGAGCAACGGCATGTTATGATCCGAACCGGGATGAACAGTAGGACTCGGAAGGAATCATTGTGACAGCGATTGGTGGAGATACGAGGCAGCCGGACCACAGACGAAGGGACGCCGGAACCAAAGGAGGCCTAGACGGTGGAACTGCCAGGCTGGCGAGCGCTAAAGAAAAACCACAAGCTACTGTTCCATCCTGAGCAAATGTCTTTTGATCCTGAGTGATCTTTGTTTTGCGCGTGCCCCGCCTGCACCACCCTCGGCGTTCCCAGCTGCCCCGACTTAGCAGTTCTCCGCGCTGGGCATGGTGGACATGTGGACAGAGAATGACAAAGTACTTGCAAGTGTCCACATATACAGGAATGCTATCAATGGCCAGCTTGCGGTTGGCAGCGCCATCGTGCGACTGTGGGCAGCAAAAGAAATCATACCAAACGAACAGCGGCTTGGACGAGAACTCCTTCGGAGAAACATAGCTCTGCTGTCCTGCGTATATCTCGACGCTCACATTGCCAGAGATGGTTGTCGCTCCAACTTTTGCATTCTTCAATGCATCCTGCAGTACCTTGAACTGCTCGAAATTAGGGTCTGGGTGATCAAGGCCAGCCCACTGGTGCGACACAAACATGACATTCCCCTTGGACTCATGAAACTCTTCTAGCAAGTCATCCGCCAGCAACTCCTCATGTGGCCTGAGATCCTGCATGGACATTATGAGGTCTGCGGACACCTCGGTTGGAACTTTTTTAATTACTGTACGAAGGAAACTCCATTATGTACTGAATACCCATAATATGGTAACTTACATTAAATTCCTTAAAGGCAACCCTCAACCCTAAACCCTATATGTTGAATTTAAATTCCTTAACAGCAACCCAGACACTACATACATTGGAAACAAGGGCTGGCCGGTAGCAGCCGGCCGGCTCCCTGCTGCGCGCAAAGTCCTGGGCTGCAGCTACGGAACTTGGGTTTAGGATTTAGGGTTTAGGATTTAGGGTTTAGGATTCAGGATTTAGGGCTTAGGGTTTAGGACTTAGGATTTAGGGTTTACGGTTTAGTGTTTTTAGGGTTTAGGATTTAGGGTTTAGGGTCTTTTTTGTTAGCGCTCCTTTTTTAAACCTCCTGCAAGCAGTCGGTAAAGACCATTTCAGGCCGAGCGGGAAAACGAACACTCGCCACAGCACATGAAGATGATCACATTTCTCACATGCCTTTCTGCTGGCTCTCGTCCTTGCGATCCGTCCCTTCTTTCTCGGCCCTTTCATTTGCTCCTGATTTAGGCTTGGAGCTGCCTTCCTCCATTGTAGTCAAACCCCTGAGCATCAGGTCGCTAGCAAGCACAGCTTCCCAAATCTCTGTCCCATGCAGCTCTCGAATTTTGGCGTCTAGGATTTAGGGTTTAGTTTAGGGTTAAGGATTTAGGGTTTAGGGTTTGCCGTGATATAGCGCTGAAGCAGAGAGAGTCATGCCACAGAGTCGTTTCGAGCGTGTCGTGCCATGCGACATGCCGCCTGGGCCTGACTGTGGAAAGCCATCTAGCACATTCACCCACCCCACGCCGTCCCAGGCGACCAAACCACCCAAACCTATTCCTATTAGGGTTCAGGACCCAAACTCAATTAGGTCCATCTTGGTCAACAACACCACACATTTCTATAGCCAAGCTTCTGGTTTCCGAAAGGCTTGAGAAAAAGGGGAGGGGGATAGGGCAATATAATATAGAGCGTGACAATGCTTTGCCCCCAAGCTTGACGATGACCTTAGACATGGCTCAGCAGGCTCTGTTGTTTTTGAATCTTGGGCCCGGAAGCCCCAAGAACCGAGTAAATAGGAGGCAACGTTGCCATGGTGCCCGGTCTCCACCTTATTAACATCAACGCCAAGTTGTTGAGCATGGCCTTAGAGTCGCCATTCCGGATGTTTGTCATGAAGGACGATTGGTATTGTCAGCTCCTAACATGTTAGGGCACACCTACTCCCGGATCTGGGGGGTGGTTCTGGGGACCTCTGGTTGGGCTCCTGCAAGGTTTGAGCCGGGTTTTGGCCCCGTCGCAAGGCTCCTGAAGGCTCTTGGGCCACTCGTTTTTAAGTTTTCTAAAAAAAGCGTGGGAGGCCCCTGCAAACCGCCTGAGAAGGTTCTGGGAGGCTCCTCCTGGCCCAGAAATTCGCTCACAGAGGAGAGCCTGCAACCCCCAGAACCCCCCAAAGGTCCTGGTCCGGGAAGGGTTTGGGGTTTGCGCTGGTCCCATGAAAAACGGGGTCTGGTACTGGGCCTATCATGGGTGCTACCGTACCCGTGACCAGGCTAAAGGATTCAGGTGGCATAGGCGCCGCCCACCATCGTAGGTTGGCGGCCTAAGCCTTGAGTTTAGGGTTTAGGGTTTGGGGTTTAGGGTTTAGAGAACTTAAATTAAGCGATGTTATCCCCCTATAATGGAGAATCAAATGGAAAAGATAATGGAAAATGAAATGGAAACTGTGGTAATATAGGGAGTTAAGGAACTTAATTTAGATTACCATATCATGGGTCAAAATCATAGTTGAATGGTTTCGCCAATTCTGTAACTTAAAATAAGTTCTCAAAATACACGTATGTGCGTTTAGTTGGTCATTGGGTGTCCTTATAGTAAACTGAGTAACTGAATTTAAGTTCCTTAACAGCAACCCCAAACCCTAAACAAACCCTTAGGGTACCCTAAAACCTTAGTCTTAATTTAAGTTCCTTAACAGCAGCCGAGGGTCTCTGCATGAGATTCCAAGAGGCTGGAACGCTCAGCTCCGCAGGAGCATGCAAACATGGCGGCAGAGTTCGGCAATGGTAGGCAGGCCCCTTAAGGGTTCTGCTTCCTATGGAGCTTGGGCCGCCTCACACGCGTGAAACTGAGAAATTTCGAAAAAGCGGATGGACTTCCCCAGATAGATCTGCAGCGCATTAAGGTTTCAAGGCTTGGCAGGAAAACAACCAATTTCGACCACGAATCCATTGGAGCAATGACTGCTTTGGCCATGCAGGAGACCAAGGTACCAAGGTCTCCTAGTCGCTCATGAGGGGCAGACTTTGCCACCGCACTCAGCTTGGAAGCCTCTAAGCTGGCAAACACCAGCCCCTGAACCCTGCAGCCTTTTGCTGTTGCTAAAAGCCTGCTCATGAAACCGCGAACCGCTAGTGCAACTCCAGCGCAGGAGCAGTAGCAAGCTCAACGCGGTGCCTGCACTTCGGTAGGTACACAGTCCCCCTTAAGCAGATATGGGGTACGTTGGCGGCTTATTACAATGTACCCAAAGCCATATTCTATCTACTTCAGGGGGACTATGGGATCTAAATTCCTGCGGTTCACCGGCCTCGGCGTTGGAAATGAGGCCGCAGCTGACAGCAATGAGTTGAAGGCCTTGGTGTCTGACAAACATGACAAAGAGATCAAAGAGTTGATGCTGGAAATGAGCTACAATGTTACAATCTAGGTTTTAGGGGTTCAGGGCTTAGGATTTAGGGTTTAGATCCCCCTTAGGGTATATTAGATATAGTCTAAACTGCGAGTACCCCCCCTCATAAACCCAATAATACTCCCCGATATAATCCCCTATAATCCCCTATATAATCCCCTTAAGAAGGAAAGACAAAACCCAAAATGGACGGGGCATGGAATCTCACGCGATCATCTTCAGCAGAGTATCCCAGCGGAGCTGCGTGCGAAATATGGAGGCCAACGTGTACTCCAGAAGGCAGCCAGCACCCCTGCCATCAACACAGATGCCTTCTGCCGGCATCCCAATGAGAAGCTTCCAGGCAACCCTCAAAAAGCTTGGGGATGCATCGAGGATGATTCTATTATGCATCCCCAAGACTAACAATGCACCTGTCCAGTCGTTGCTTTAGGGCCACCAAGGAGTCCTCGCAAGCAGCCAAGGGGGTTGGCATGGGATGTAAGAAGTTCGTAGGTCCTCACCACATTGGAGTCGTGAAAATCTGTTTGCCTCAGCACAGTTCCGCTCTGCTATCTGCTGTGGGGAACTCTCAGATTCTCTGCATGACTCCGACCATTGCAATGCTACATGCCGCCGCGCAGCCATTCCAAAGCAGCGGTTGGCAAAGTCTGCCTTTCACGAAATACACACAACCGTGCACTAAGCTCCACAAATAAAATTGCAAGTCCAGCTGCATGCCAGGCCAGTCGCACCTACAGGAGTAGCGGTCTGCTTGTCATCTCAGCTGTCTGACGGTTTCGCAGCTGCCGGGCTGCCTTGAGCCTCATTAAGCGATCTGCACGGCTCGCCAACAGGGCAGCATCCTTGGATGGCACTCCCTCATTGCCAGCTCCTCTTGGCGAGGAAAACGGAAAATGTGCAGGTTCTCAATGCTAAGGATTAGGATTAGGATCCACATAAGATTGATCTTGCGCTTTTTGGAAAACCTCCAAGAAAATGACCCCGGTGAGCGCCCAGCAGTGTCTGTGAGCCGGGCTGAAGGATCTATGTACTCCACCGTCAACCTTTCAGGAGCTCAGGTGCCGAAGTAGCTCCCATGCTTTCAGGCTGACCGAGCGTCTGGCTGGCTGTTGTGCGGGCGGCTGGCCTTTGTGCAGGGCAAAGCCACAGCGCTGTCGCTTTTTTGCACCAGGCAAGTCGGCCTGGCCAGCACAAATATCCAGATCGAAAGGTCTTGATTTTCAACTTAATTTAAGGTCCTAAACTCAACCACAAACCCTAAACCCCTAAACCCCAAAACCCCTTAACCCCTAAACCCCCAAACCCTAAACCTCTAAACCGCTAAACCGTTTTTTCCTTTTTTTCAGTCCTGTCCTTCGACAAACCGACGGAAGCAACTGCTCATGGAAGACGCGTCGCAACTGCTGCTGGACCAGCTTCGAAGCCGAACGATCCAACAGCCAAGCACCTCAGGCACCCAAGTCTAGTATAATATATATATAGAGAGAGAGAGAGAGACAGCATATATAATAGCATATTATAGTGTATGTATATGTATACATATATACACACATATTAATCTAAATTATCGTATATATTAACGTATATGAAAGTATATTAGAATGTACTATAATGAATTATGGTACGTTGTAAAGTCCATGTTTAAGGATGACACTCAGGCATGCGCATGCAGTGCAAAGGACTCATGAAATCAGGCAAACCAAGAATCAGAAACCTTTGGTGTGCCTGGAGGGGGGGGTCTGTCAAAGCCGTTTCTGATGCCATGTTGACTTTTTCCTGACCTGGCACTGCTAAAAAAATCCGGGCTTGGACGGATGCCGCCATGCTTTCATTAAATGCGCAGGCTTTGCAAGGCTTAGTCTACGGCATCTGGCCTCCAAAGGGAGCGTGCCCGTTTGAGAATGTTTGGGAAGGTAGTGTCACACAGCAAGCGAGGCTTGCTGGCCCAGGCCAAGCATCTCAGGAGAACGTTTGAAATAACAGCCTGACTTGTCCAGGACATGTTCAAAAGCCGTGCGTGTGGAATTTGAATTTCCTAGCTCCCCTACCTTTGGCATGTTCAACCTCGCCTTCACACGAAGCCTCGTACGGCCTCAATCAGAGGTCGCTCTGCGCTTCTCAGTCCGGGTTCTGCTCAGTGTTTGGCCTAGTTTAAATGCCATTCTTCCATCGCCATGAATTCTCTCAGCATGACTCTGCTTGCTCTGGATGCTCGTGTGGCTACGTGGGAATTGTGGTTAAAAGGCTAAGTGTTTGGCCTCCGTCTCGAAAAGCCCCGTGTGATGAATGTGACATGCAAACGGAATCGAGAAGGGTCGCAGATCGCACCGACCGTCTTTGTGGAGCTATCAGCTTCTGCCCAACATAGCGCAGGTAACGAAAGTGCGCAGGATGCCACGACTTGAGGAAATCACAACTGGTCCAAGGCGGTCGGCAAAAGCATAGAACACTGCTTGGGAATGCTGACCCCTTCATTGCCAAGTCCCCGTCCGCGTAG